GCAGAGTCCTAACCACTGGACCACCAGGGAAGTCCCAGAGATTGGGTACTTTTTGAGGGAAGATGGGATGGGAAATTATCCTCATTTGGTATTTGGTCAAATAGCTCCTTGGGAAGAAGCACATTTCAGCCTTTCTCCTTTCTTACCACCGTGACTTGGTGTACTTTCATGTGGCTTTCATTGCCTTATTTTATTCGCTAATGCATCCTCTTGGAGAAGACTTCATAAGAAAAAAATTGAACTTGGGAGTCCCGACTCCATTCAATTTAAGAATCTTATAAAGCCAGTTCTTGCTCATACAATCTGAATAAAAAGCTGCTTCAAACCTTTAAAAGCCCAAAGTTAATTCCACACTCATGCAGGCCTGTTTGGAGCTTTTAGAACCTTTTGAACCCTGAGGCTAAATAGTATTATTCTTCAGTTCCTCCTAGTGAGATGATGCTATGAAGCCAGATTCAAGAACTAAGTATTCTTGAATGAAAAACACCATACCACACATCTACATCAATTAAAAACTGCATCTTAAGATTCACCTCAGATACATACATGTAAATTGGAGTTTCCGCAGGCAGTTCCAGGGTGGACTCATTGTATTTTGAGTTCTGTTTTTATCAGCTTCTAAAGGTCCAGACCACTGAAAAGTACCTCCTTGAGAATTCACAAAAAACATACCTGAGGGATCACAGTAGGGTCCTACCAGCTACCACCAGTCTCTTTCCTAAGAACGCAGCCACTCAGGTCCTGCTGGCAATGTTACCGGACAGAAGGGTAATGTTTAAAATATTTAACAACTGGACAGAGGCACTGACCTATCGGAATAGACATTGGCTATAAAACCTGTTCAGGCACGCTGCTGTTTGCTGGCTAATTTCAAGCCCTCTGGGTCAATGGAACTGTTGGTGGCTCCTTGGCCTGGCCTTGTCTGCCAGGCCCTGCCAACACAGGCATTCACAATACATGCCTGCTGCTGCAACAGCCTAGAGGTGGTTTGTGGCAAGCGGCAATCTCTCTGCTCTCTCTGTGATGTGATATTAAAGGGGAAGAGAGGCCTGCTGCATGAGCCAAACACCACCCAGAGTTGGCGGTGAAACAGCTCCCACCATGTTTATTTAGAGCCTCTCCCTTCTGAGATCCCAGAGAAGCCATTTGCCCATGCCTCACTGTCACAAAAAGCCTCAAATTTAGACTTTTGATATGATTTCCAAGTGAGGTTAAATGTACAGCCTCAGAGATAAGCTGAATGAAGGGAAAGGGGAGATGGTTATCTTTAAATCTGGTCTTATTTCCAGTCCAAGAAAGTCTATCGTCCCTCATAAATTTAAATGTCTATAAATTCTGTCATTTCCTTGGGAATATCAAGCTACACAACATTTTTTTTTGCTGTTGTAATTGCCATCAATTTGTTAAATACACGTTTTTAAGAACACAATTTTTGTCAAGGGTTTTGTCACTTTTTCTTTTGATACTTAATACTGTATAGATTTTATTAAAAATTTTATCTCTGCTTTTTTTTAAGGTATAGCTGATTTACAATATTATATTAGTTTCAGATGTCACTTTTTAATATATGGAAAGCTGGAAACATGGGAATGGCCAAGGCCTGGGTCTTCCCAATGTGACCAGTCTGTTGGTCTCACAGCCAAAGCTCTGTGGTCAGGTCAAGCTGGTCAGTCTGACCTTCTCTTCCCCGGTGATGTTTGTTCCCCAAAGTCTCCTCAGTCTGTCTTACAAGTAGACTTCCCCTTGGGCTGCCTGAGGAAGCCTGAGAAAGCCAGACCTGACTCAATTCAAGAGGGTCTGTTTTAGGCTAATCCTGAGAGCCCAAGGCTCACAGCAGGAGCACAGTAAATATGCCCCAACCTCAAAAACATGGCCTGCATAACCAGAGTGGTGATGGACCTGAGGTTTGCTAATGTGATGCTGACTCAGCAGCCGGCTCAGGGCCACAAGGGATGAGAGGGGAGCAAGGAAGCAGCGAGGCTGCAGGTCTTTCTTTCTCCACCTCTCCCCTTTCCACTAAAGAGGCGCCATGTTTACTTGTCTTAACATACTGATCACCTACTCAGCTTCCATTTGCAGAAAGGAGTTCACAGCTTTAAACAAGTTTGAGAACAACTGCCATAGGGTATTCACCTCATTAGCAGAAGTGTGCATTTCTTAAATCTCAGACTGTGGCATCTCAGGTTTAGAAGGGTCTTGGAGGGGATGAAGTGCAGCCCTTTCAGCTGGTTCGGAGTCCAGTTCTAGCGATCTGGGTTCCACTGCTTTCGGCAGCTGGATCTGCAGCGCGGAGAACCGACACTCATACGGTGAATATTGTTCTTGTTTTCTGACCTTTTGGGCAGATCTGAGAGGAAAATGCAGCGCTGGTGGGGTAATGGGGGACTTAAGGAAACCCTCCTCCTAGCCAGTTGTTTGAATCATGAATTAGAAGAGCCTGGGAGACCCAGCTCCTGAGATGAAGGAGCAGGCCCCCTGGGCCACAGGTCACCAGGGTCAGCTTTGATCAGCCACCGCGTGAATGTGGGCCAACCACACATCTTCTGGACTCATGCTCTCCTTGTGTAAGATGCCCCAGCAGTCCATGTTCCTCACCTCATCTATATCTGTTGTTGGCTCGAGGTAGCGAGATTTAAAATTGAGCTCAACCTGCCCTACAAGGTCAAGTATAATGCGTCTATGAACACTGAAAGGTTTACTAAAAATGTACCCACTTTGAGCCATAGCTTTTTGAAAATGAATTTAAATTCATTAGCTTCTAGCCATTGAAACAGAGCATTCTTTCCAGTTTAGAGGGGTTAGCCAAGGAAAACCTGCCAACACTTTTCATTACCCACAATAGCATTAAGGGGGTACAATCAAAGAGATTAAGGTTTTTGTTTTGTTTCATTTTTCAATATCTCAAATGTTTTAATGACCTTGTCCTGGGTTGTATAACTCATTCCTCTTTGCACGTTAATTTTTTCATCTAGGAATATAGAACAACTTGCTACCTTCAAATGCAGGAAAAGTAGGATAATTTAAGCTTGTTTTAAATACTCAGAATTTCCTGGATGAAACTATGGAAGTTTAAAATATAAAGAAGTTGAAAGGAGTATTTGTCAAATATTTCATTAAACCTCAACATCTTCGTAAATCATACAAAAATACAATCCCAGTTGGAGAGGTGAAGTAACTTGTCAAAATCATAGAGCAAGTCCGTACTATGGATTCATTATACACATAGATCTGTATAATTGCCTTTGGGTACCAAGAAAGTTTAAGATAATTTATGAAAACTTACAAAAGTAATAATAAAAGGTTTGTATTTGTCTAAATATAAACGACATACAGCACCCATCAAAGCTGTATTAATTCAGGATTTAAGAAAAACATTTAAGTTTCCTCTTCTACAGGATAAAGGTTCATTTAAAATTAAATGTAAAAGATAATTTACGGTATTTGTTCATTTATCATTTCTTTTCAATGGCATAAACAGTTGCACTATAAATTGAATTTTGTGTGTGTATTCAACCTTTACAAGCACACATACATCTTACCTTCCTTTGGGATCACTGTGAACTTGGGCAATTTAACCTATTAAGAGTGGTACACTGTGCTTTCAAAGACGTATCAAAACTAAATAGTCCATTTTTTATTGTTACCATGGAGGCCCCTCCAGGGCAAAGTTTCTTTTCATCTTCTTTGTGACATTTATCAGTGACTCTATCTAGTTAACCCTTTTGTCAATATCACCACCTCAGCTCACCCTAGAGCTCAATCTTGCAGGAATTCAGAGAGAAGAACTTTGCCACTCTTTCTCTTTACCCCTGAATACAAGTTTCCTTTGTCTCCTCTTAGACTTAGGAACCAAAGATCACACTTAGACAAAGGGACAGCTCTGCTGAAGAGCGGGCTGAGGTATAGTGTAAGGTGACCCCAGATATTCATTCTTGACTAGAAGGAGGGAAGCAAGGGAAGGCTGAGCGGAGAGAGGGCAGGGGATAAGGAGAGGGTCTCAGTTCCCAAGGAGGGGCCGCTCAGTTCCTCCCTGAGAGGGGTTGTGGATTCAATTCTAAGATCATCAAACCCGCCATGCAAACATAAGTACACAGATCCATCCCAAGGTGAAAGGTAAAATGCCTTTCATATCATTTCGTGTTTTTGGTTATGCCTGAAATTCCAATATATGGCGTGGGAGTGTATTATATGATTAGAGGGAGCAGAGCTGAGGGAAGCGGTGGGAAGCAGGGCATTATTTGTGTTTGATTTCATTTCATATTACGATTAGTTCCTATTCCTTTGAGGACAAACTAACTGAATAGGAAAAGGCAACTAAAGGTGTGCAATGTGTTTGTGAAAATTGTAAATGTGGGAGTGAAGAAAGGCGTTTGGTTTAGCAAAGATACTGAAATGAATTAAAACTTTTCCAAATTTCACCTCTGGAAGGAAAAGTATTAAACAAACCTCAGTCTGAAAGGCCAGTTTTAAAGAAAGCAGGGGGAACCAAGCAGAGGTTTTAGGCTGTAAATAATGCTCAAATTCATTACAAACAGATGCTGGGAACTTAAAAAGAAAGTTGTATTTATTCATTATATAACTAAGAATTTTATGAAGCTTCCTTAAAATGCTGATTTTTGAAATGGTGGTTATAATGTCCACTTGTTACAGATTATCCATTTGTGACAATAAATGAAAAAGTGTGTGTATGCGGGGGTGTGTGTGGGTGTGTTTACACGTGTGATTATCCTGCCAGTCAATTTCTCCAAATGAAAAAGATTTATACATCATACCGTCAACACGGCGGAGGGCACCCGGCTTATGAGTAGTGGGACTTCAACCTTCACATTAGAGCTCCTTGTCACTCCTCCCAGCAGATCCTGTCCCCTCGTCTCCAGGCACCTAGCACGCTCACGTGTACACACACACACACACACACACACACACACACACACACACGAGTAAGACACGCGCCCAGCTCGCTCCTCTCGCGGTCCCCGAGCCCTGCAGCCTCGCTTTACCTCTCGCCCAGGGAGGATGCCGGCCGCCGCTGGCTCTGTCGCTGCCGTCAGTCTCGGCTGCTGGCCCCTTCGGTTTCAGCAGACTGGGGCCCTCTGCGTTTTCAACAGGTACCATGGTCACGTAGAAGTTACAGCCGTTCCCTGGGCACTAAACCACCCTGACTTCCCCCACTGACACGAGCGGTCACTTTCCCCATGGTCGCATGCTAAAGAAAGGTGAAAAAAAAACTTCGGGCAAAGCCAATGTGATTTGTGACCAACTTTGTTTCTATTTCCGAAAGCTTTGCCCTTTTCGGTGACACAGGCTCTTGCTATTCCAAGCAGCCTATCACAGGCAGTGGGAGGGCCGAATCTCCGGAGGATTGTTTTTTTTACCTTCAGATGCAGAGCTGGAAGCAAAGGATTTCCAGGCTTGGGAACCGGAGCTCTGACAGTGTTTGGCCCTTAGCTGGGGGCGTGGTGGGGGGGGGGGTTAGCTCTTGTATTCCTGCACCTTTGAAAAGAGGCACAGAAAAGAATCAGGCAGATTCAAGCCCAGGCTGAGAGTGAGGGCCCAGAATACTCACAGATGGTATTAGTTAATCTTGCACAGGGAGAAACAATTTAGGCAAAGACATACCAGAAGGAAAAGTGTGTCAATTTTTCAGCAAGATGGTTATTCCAAGAGCAGTGACACTTAGCAAATTCAACAAAGCATGAAACATCTTCATTGTTTCAACCTGATTTTGCCCTAGGTGAGTGCTGTATATACTCTCCCTCTCCAAGACCTGTCAGACAAATCAAGGCCTGAGACCAAGTGTACACAAACTCAGAATGCCCAGGTTCTTCGGACTTTTTATACCCTGGGGTTACAGCAAACTATCGCAGTTTATTTATGCATAGCTGTCTTTAAGGAAGGAACTAACCCTGAATCTTCTGTCGAGATCAATGCCTGATAGCCTGATTGTAGGAGGAGGGGCATTTCCAGTTCTGAGCGTCCAGAGTGAATGGACCATGGTGTGGCTGTGGTGTCGTCCAATCGGAAACAAAAGCAGGGCCTGAGAAGGAAGATTTTTTTTTTCCTGATTGGTGAGTATATTTCTATAAAGGTCTTACCAAATGATCCATTTTTGGGGAAAAAAACAAAAACAAAAACTTGTGAGGCATGTACCCATATTACAGAGAGGAAAATGGAGGCAAAGTGACTTGCCCCAAACATCACAGCTAGTCAGTGGCAGAGCTGAGACCAGGAATCCAGGTGGTCTAATGCCATAACTTGCCTATATCCCAACCTCCCAGCCTTGTCATTCTCTGATTTTCTTGGTTTCCGTCACTTTCAGCCCTTCTTGACCTTAAGAAGATGACATGAAATACAGCTTTTGTCCTAATCGTTCCTCTGGACAGAGAAACGAGTTCTTGCTTGTATAGGCAGAAGCTGAACTACACAGAACTCACTTTTGGCATTTTGGCTGGATCCTAACACAGCTCTAAATTAACTTATCATTGGTACATTACTTTTGCTCATCACTAGATATTTCTGTATCTTTCTTATCCTTCGGGGAATCAGGCAACAAATGGAAACAAACCTGTGATGATTCAACTGGTATTGATTATGCACCTGTTTATGTCTGCTGCTAGTGCTGGAAAATGGCAGTTCTTTAAGCATAGCCCAGCCCCCCCCCTTTTTTTTTTTTGCGGTACACGGGCTTCTCATTGTTGTGGCCTCTCCCGTCGCAGAGCACAGGCTCCAGATGCGCAGGCTCAGCGGCCATGGCTCAGGGGCCCAGCCGCTTCGCGGCATGTGGGATCTTCCCGGACCGGGGCACGAACCCGTGTCCCCTGCATCGGCAGGCGGACGCTCAACCACTGCACCACCAGGGAAGCCCAGCCCAGCCCCCTTTTGATTCAGAAGTGAGTAGTTCAGACTCCAACAGATCAGCTTGTCCCCACTAAAGAATGTGTGGTACAATGATGCTTTTGTTTTTATTTGTTTCCAGAATGTGTTATCATTGTAGGAGCAACAGTTTTTGTCTGCGAGACACATGTATTTCTCATCAGCTCTCTGTATTATCTTGGCTTCTATCTACTCTCTGCTGGGAATCAACGAACTCAGTTGGTAGACATGTTTTTGCAGTGGGTCAGTTGTATAATTGCTTTGTTTAATGATCTCAGGCCCCGTGTCTCCAGCAGCTTCCTGGCACCATGGACGTGTTAAGCTGTTTGCTATAGTCTTTGACCAAGTAGAAGATAAACCTAATTCCAGAATCCCTTACTACGGTGAAGAGCAATTCAGCAATTCTCACTTTGCTTTCTGTAGCCGAACCACACAGGAGCTCCTAAGGCATAAACCAAGGTGAAATCCAAAGGAATAAGCACATTATGTGACTGAACACATGGCTCCTGGTGCCCCTAATCCTGTTCTTCATTCCACTGTTAACCTGATGTGGGCCACTGGCTCTCCCAAGCTCTGTTCTGTGCTCAATTTACTCTCTTAAACTCAGAGAAAATTTAGGAGAAAAATTCTTTTCACCTAGGCTAATGGGGCATATTCTCCTGCCGAAATTTCCTGAAGAACCCTGTACTTTTCCTTCACAGTATTTTGTACACTGATCATGTTACAGTTTTATTATAATTACATGCAGTGATGTGACTAAATCTGCCTTTTTCTGCTAGATAGCAGGCTCCATGACAGAGTGGACCATTTCTGTTTGGTTTACTATGGATATTCCAAGTGCCTGGCCAGAATGAATACTCAGTAAATATTTGCTGGCTAACAGACTGATCCCTATAAATCCAACTAACTTTAGCATGACTAGAATGTAAGTTCCACGAGGGCAGGCACTTATGTCTGTACCGGGTACTCATCCATCTCTGTGTCTCCAGCTCTTAGCACAGTGCCAGGCATGCAGCACACCCTCAATAAATATGTGTTAAATAAGTGAGTGCAGGGACTTCCCTGGTGGTCCAGAATCTGCCTTCTAATACGGGGGACGCAGGTTCGATCCCCGGGCGGGGAACTAAGATCCTACATGCCACGGGGCAACTAAGCCCATGCACTGCAACTAGAGAGCCCATGCGCCACAACTAGAGAGCAACCTGCACACCACATCAAAGAGCCCACGCGCAGCAACAAAAGATTCCGCGTGCCACAGCTAAGACCCGAGGCAGCCAAAATTAAATAAATGAAAAGATTACAGTGTATGGAAAAACCTACCCTGCAAACTACTTTGGGAAGAAAGAGATGGGCAGCCAGAGCTGAGGGGTATGAACAAAGTCCTTTTCCTCACTTCATTCCATTCAAATTTCTACAAGCAAATAAATAAATAAACAAATAAATAGATGAGTGCTCACAAATGGAGCATTTAGTGAGCTGGATAACTATGTAGTTTTTAAAAACTCATTTGACGATTGTCTCTAACACTTCGTCGTTTCTCTCTCCTTTCTGGTACTATCTTTAGAGCAAGTATCACCACAGGCTGTCCCTCCTTAATAGAGTCTGAGCCACTACTATCATTAAAAGCGATTCCTCCACTTAAGGAATATGTAATCAGCAGATGGGCAGTTCATTTCCCATAATTCCAATAGTTTTGCTGCATACCTTTTCAGACCACCTGTTCATAGGCAATGCTACCAAATCCAAAAATATGTATTATGGCTTATAAACTGACAAGACAAATAAGAGGGGATGAAAGAGAAGGCAAACAGCACCACAAGGCTGTGGACCTCTACTATGTATATACCAGCGCTATTTTTACGGCGATTTTTCTTAAACCTCGCAACAACTTTGTGAAGTAAACACTATTACTTTCATTTTGCAGAAATTGAAACAGAGGTCTTTGAAGCACGTCCAGATCAAAAACAAAACAAACAAAAAGAAACGACACTTTCCAATGTTTCAACCTGAAAATTTTCAATCATACAGGAAAACCTAGATTCTATACTCAGCATTTTACTATGCTCACTCTTTCATCTATGTATCTGTATTCTAATCCCTCTATCCAACCATTGATCCATCTTAGTTTTTATGCATTTCAAAGTAAGTCCAATACTTGTTTAGGTTCTTTTTTTTTCCCCCTTTGAGACACTTTACATACAATGATGTTCATACAAGGGTACCATTATATAAATTCAGAAAATCACATACGTATGTACACTCCAAACCTCTACTAAGTACCGAACGTGAACATCATCCAGAAAGTTCCTTTATGTCTTTTCTGAGTAAATTTACATCTTAACCCTTAGAAGCAGTCAATGCTCTGATTTTTTTCCACATGGTTTATCTTTCTCTGTTCTCACTCCTCATAGAATGGAATCATAGAGTATGTACTCCTGTGTAAGGCTTCTTTCACTGGGCATAATTTTGACATTCATCCTTATGTTTGTGTGTATTAGTAGTTTATTCTGTTTATTGCTGACTAGTATTCCATGGGTAAATATACCACAGTTTATTTTTCCATTTTCCTACTGATGGGCGCTTGGGCTGTTTTGTTTTGGCTATTGAAAATAAAGCTGTTATGAGTAATTCTTGCACAAATCTTTTGCAGAACGTAACATTTCAAAGCACAGCGGTCCAAGTCCATTTGACTCCAAAACTCACATGCTTTCCACTACGCCCTGGTGCTTCTCTGTGGTGCATCCCATTGCCCTATTTTATGTAGAATGTACTTCCGGAGTTTTTATCCTAAAATAGTGCATTACATTGTAAACACAAGTGGGGAAATACAATCTTTAGACAAAAAATATCCAGATACAAATTCAGGTCTTAATTAGCCATCTCCAATAAAATATTCATCTTGGTATCAGGTTTTTGGAAGAATATTTATTATTTTACATGTTTATACTATCCAAATAACTCCTTTTTCTAAAGGTTTTCAATATAACTTTTTTGTAAGGTGTAGAATATTACTAATCATAACATATCGATTAAAGTTCCTCAAATTACAAAAGAAGGATGGTTAAAGTCATTATATGTTCACTTGATATAAAATGAATTGTTAAAAGAAAGACAATATAGCAGTGTAATAAAATATTGTTTCTATTATTTTAAATGGAAAAATCAGAGTAGAACATTTCATGCTGATTACCACTATAATAATTTTTAAAAATATATATGTGTATTCATACAGACCAGGAGGGAACTTGGAAAGATTGAAAATAACAAATATGTTGGGATGGTAATCTTAGGTCACATAAGGAATTTAGACTAGTTCTAATCATGGGTAAATCGTGTGTAAAAAGTATTTTCTGAAAAACATATTTTCTTAACATTGTTACAATACTGTGTATCTAATAAGT